TGAAATTTCCACAATGTTCAGACCAGTTTTATTTGCAAAGTTGTGGCCATTGCAGCATCCCAGCAGTCACGTGATTGTGATTTCTGACGCTCCCTGCCAGCTTCCCACAAGCAAAGTCAGTAGGGAAGCCAGCGGGAAGTCAGAAATCACTCCTGCTCCTACTGCTTTTTTGCCCACCCATGGTCATTCTGTTTATCTCTTTGGGTAAGTAAATATTGGCTTATTATTGAAGTTCGTTTGCCACTACAGTTATTTTTCTATTTATGATATATACTCTTCTTAGATGATCACCGGAGCAGCATTGGGGTAAAAAAAAACAACGATCAGCCTAAAACTTAATGCTTGTTCTGGTCACATCAGACCACACTACCTTTCTCTCAAAGGATGACCCAACAGGTCACAGGGTTGTCTAGTTAAGATTACTGCACTTAAGCACATTTTATGCTGAAATAATTTTCCACCTCTACTTTGTAGCATATGCTACCTGTCAGACATTTATTGTGTTGATTACAATTAGCTGATGTGATGCTTTCTTATTCTATAATGCCCTACTTAAATCTAATTTATTTCCAATCTACATGAACAGTCTTTACAAATGATAGTTAAGATGTGCTTTAACTTTTTACACTAGGTCAACACTTGGGATTTTTATGGTTTATACCCAAGGTTTTTTAAGAGATGGCAGTTTGAAAGAGGAATCACTGGTGGTTATGTTTATGCAAAGCCCAGTTTCATTTTGGACAGATTCTGTGGAAAATGACAGCTTTCAGGCATTTCATTATGCCCACCTGTGGAGGGGATGGAAGGAGTTACTTGTTTATAAAAGAGGAAGATACATGTGTGTGCTAATAGGAATTATGGTAGTGTTCTTGTAGTGAGTGCTAGCCAAGAGGCAATTTGAAAGTCCCTTCCATTCCTGTTGCAGGTTTTTGTATTATATTGATTTAAAGTGCTTGAACACTTCAGAACACTTTGGGACAAAATAAATATGTAAGTAATATGTATGGAAATCATGGGAAGTAAACTCTTTCAAATTATTTTCTCCTAAGACCGTCTCTCCCCATTATGCTATCAGTCTTGGAGTATGGCAGCCAGGGGGAAAAATAAATTCAGTATTTATTACAACATGGCTAGTTCCACTGTAGCTAAGGGAAAGTTGTTTATCTCTCCCAAGTATACTCCGTCCTCCATCCAAGGCACTTTTGAGCAGAAGCGAAAAGAAGATTGTATGCAGAATCAGTAAGACCTTGGCTTATGGGGCATTTGATCATGGCTTTCTTAGCCCATTATTCAGCCTTCCTCAACTTGGCATATTCCAAACTGCAGTCAGACTGAAAGTAGAGAATGTCCATAATGGCCAAGTTCTGGAAGTTGCAATCTCAAAACAGTTGAAGAATGCAGATGCTCTAAGCCAGTGTTATTTAAAGTATGTTTCACTGAGCATTGTTGTTCTATGAACAACTTGCAGGTATGCTATAAGAATTGGTAAAATAATTTAGTCTTGTGCACGGTCCCTCAGACAACGTGATCGGCCATGTGGCCAAGCCCATAGCCAGGCCCTTTGGCACACCAGTTACCAGGCATGCCCATCCCAGGTACCCAGCTTTGGCTGGTTCCTCAATAAAGATCACTGGCAAGAGATTTCCTGGCCCTACTGCTGTTGAATCTGCTGTTCGCTTAGCTGGTGGCTGGAAGTAGAAGTTGGAATCCTGAGCTTCCTCCAGTTCTCCTGCTCCAAGTCAACCTGGGATGGTGTCCTCCAGTTGTAATTCCAGTAGACATGCCCCTCACCAGAGAGTCTGTGGCATTGGTGAGAAGAGTATCAGGGCTCCGCTTGTAGAAGTAAATATTTCTGCACTCCAGCCCAGCCCCAAACCAGCTGTGCTGCTTGCTATAATCATCCTCATCAAGCTGTGTTACGATATAGTGCCCATACTGTCAGTCAGTTTTTTTCTGTATTGCATGAGTGATTGGTTGTGATTTATTCCTTCTGCTGAAAAGAGTAAATAGTTGTTTTTTTAATGTGCCACATGTGGGTAAAAATAATACTGCAGAGAAAATAAACAATACAGGGTCAAATATTGAAATAGGCAGAATGTTAATCTCATGTGGAGACTTCCTTTAATGCACCTCATCCCAGACATTGATGAAATATGCCATATATGCAAATTCATAAATCCCATTCAGATGCCATTATGATAGAATTTAAAATGTATTAATACATATGTAAAGATAAAATGTATTCAGTTTAAGGGTAAATAAAATGTATTATTAAATATGTTTTGTTTCTGTACCATTTTCTATTTCTGTTATTTTTAGAGAAACAGTCATAGGTGATGTGTATGTATTTGATGTTCTGTGGTATTGAAGAATTGGAAATGCTAGTCTAAATTTACTATTTTCAAGTCATCACAATGATTCTTCTGAGACTTGCTGGGCAGATCATTGAAAATTGAGGATGAGGCTGCTATGCCAGTACAGAATTGCAAGCTGGCACTTGGCACACCAATTATGTTTGTGGGAAAAAATGGAGAGTTAGTAGGATGTACTGTCACAAAGAGTTGTCAGCTGGAAGCTGCTGTTTCACCTCCATCATAACCTCTTTAGGCAGCCCTTGATCTGCAATGTGATATATATATAAAGTGCTTAGCATAATACGTATGTGAACCAGCCGATGTATGTCTCTCAGTGCCCAAGTTTGTAAGAGTACTTGAGAGATGAAGGGAAACAAGCATCAGTTCTCAAATGAAAAAAAAAAAAGAGAAGAAATCATAATCAAAGTACATTATCGGTGTTTTAGCTTGTTCAGCATGTTTTCAAAGGCTCCAATTCTTGTCCCATTTTCACAAGGTCATAAAAAATGTAGCCACATCTTTTAATGGGTTAGAAGTATATATGAATTAACTAGATCAATATTTTCCTGACAGGCATTGAAGAAGATGTGGTTAGAAAAATATGCCACAGACTCTGCCAACCCGGGCATATTAGTATTGCTTGGATGCGGTACTTTATCCAGTACTTGTGGCCAGTTAGCCAGTTATCCACTTGCCCTTATCCGAACTCGAATGCAGGCTCAAGGTGAGTGTTGATGTTATGTTTCTGTGCCTGTATAGAAGAGATAACTTAAGAGATGAATATTTAAGGATGCTATTAATCATTAAGAGTTTGGCTACCTTTCCCTTTTTCTTCTGGAATTTATGTATCTAGCCTTCAGCCATCAGTAATCACCTTCTTTGTTAAAATTGTATTACTTCTTTAAAGTCTGCCAAATATCTTGATCTCCCTCAGTGCAAGTGAGGTGGCACTGTGTGGAGTGTGCCTCTTGGGATCACATATGGTAGACTAAGTTCTTGTTCATGAGAGCAGGTAACCTTTGCATGTAGAACGGTAACTTTTTGGAAAAATAGGCATCACCCATAATGCTCTCTAAGATTTCTTTAGACAGACACTTTTTTTCCTATGTGAAGAAGGATCTGATAGTGGGAGATCTCATATATAGTGTGAAATGATGGAGTTGAGACCCAGCTTTTCCACTTCAGTCAAAGTTAGATCTTTGCCAAATGGTATCAATAAGAGTGAAAAAAATGGTTGACCTGTAGAAGCCTGGACAGGATAGAAGATTGTTCTGGGACAAGACTTTGTTCTACCTTCTTTAACCGACAGGCCCCACTTTTGCTTTGTGCCTTGTCTGGAGAACAAATGACATGTGATTATTACGGGAGGTAAGACAATTTTTGAACTAGTTATTTCCCATTTGAAGGGAGGAGTTAAGGGGCCACATTCTAAATATTACAAAGGCTTAAAGCACCCATTTCACCTCTTAATTCCCCCCACACAAAGCAAAAGGGTCTGAACATTCTAGTCTTAGCCATTCTGCAGGAACTCTGGGATTACAAATGAAATACTGATGGTCTTGCATGTAGATTATGGGATTGAACGGAGCACAAGATCAAATACAGGAGAAATACCCCGTCTGTGTGTGTATCTACATGTATAAAGATAACTCTGCTATGTTACAGAAGGAAATAATGTACTTTCTAAAAAGGGAGCACAACTAAAGTAAGTATGTCAAATTTTCTTCATTTATTGAGAAAGCTAAATATTATGTCTCTTCTTTCTCTTTTTAATCTTCTGAAGCAATGGTAGAAAGTGGCCCTCAACTAAACATGGTTGGCCTTTTCCGAAAGATTGTTGCTAAAGAAGGAATCCTTGGACTATACAGGGGCATAGCTCCAAACTTCATGAAGGTGCTTCCTGCTGTCAGCATCAGTTATGTGGTATATGAAAAGATGAAGGAAAACTTGGGAATAGCATAAAAAAAGAGAAATCATGTGAGAGGCTATCAAGGAATATTAACCCAGATGAATTTTTGGATACTAAATTCATTCATGTTTACAGTTACATACAATTCCTCTGCGCAAAGATTCTGCAAGTCTTGTCTTTATGACGTCTTGATGGAGAAAAAAACATTTTCTGGGAACATCTAGGTAATGAAAAAATTGTCAAATATTTCATTGCTTATCTAGCTGCTTGTTGGAAAAGTTTTTGACGATTTTGTAATTATTTTATTTCTCTAAAATGTATATTACTGGGTTAAAGCTATATGAGCACTCTGTTATGACAATTTGTATTTGATTGCCCAGTAGGCAATTCATGAGCATTCTAAACATCCAATATCATTGTACATGGATATTTTATAATATGATAATGATTCTATTCTTTTTTTTGTTAAGTCTTTCTTTGTAAACTTAAAAAAATCTCAGAAAAATTATTCAGAAAGTCATCAAATGTCACACTGAAATTCTTTGATACATTTATTTGTTCAGTTCCCCTTGTAACAAATTACCAGAAAGAGCTTGAAATGAAATGAATGTGTTTACATCATTATTAGTCATTTCAATGGGATGTGCACAGGTGGGTTCTGGTCCTCCAAACATTAATCTTAGAAGATTGATGAGGATAGGAACCAGTCCAGATACACCTGGAGCTGATATATTAATCAAAGTTACTGCTATTTACAAATATCTGATACAGTTTGTGTGCACATACAACATCCTATTCCTATTTCAAATGAATGCAAGTGTAAACATCAAGACATATGTTTTAACTTAACAGAAACATCCTGCAGGTAATTATCTAACCTCTGTTAAAAAGTTTCCTAAAATTTCTTAACTTTTCAAAAACTCCCTTCCTTCCTATTGCCTCCTCCCTTCTTCCACAGTTGCTTATCAAATTGCATGCTTTGAAATGCTAATGCCCTCCTTACCTAGGCTTGCTTTCTCTTCCAAGGAGGAAAAGTCTTGAGCTACCGAAAGGAAGGGAAAGAAAAAGAATACTCTCACATTTCCTTTCTAACCCTTTGAAGACCCTCACTGACATCTGAACCACCTTTTCCCCCCTGCAGTGGTACTTTGCCCAGGACTGCCTTGTCCCATGGTTTTCTTTTTTAGCTCTGATTTGATTCCCTTTCAGACAGCCTCTCCTCCCAGCTGCTTCTCTTGCAGTTCTGTTTGTTGAACATGTCCCCCACAGTCCTCTTCTGCTGTGTAGCCTTGGTTCCCCTAGGTCCTCACGACTCCTTTCCAGTCCTCTGCTTGTTCAGTCTCCTTTTTCACCGTCAGCATCTCCTGTAGACCCTGAAAGAACCACCCATCCCCTTGCCTATCTTCTCTACTTTTTATATACCTAGTCTCCAAAAAGCATATGTGCAAAGTTGCACGTGCTTCAAGGAGTTAGGCATTTTTCTCATTGCTTATGTGCTTTAAGCCTTGCATCTGAGAAGAACAGCCGTTTTTTGTATCATGGCAGCTCCTGCTGCCACACTTGGCTGAGTCCCGTTTTAAGCAGCTGGACATTTCACTTGCTATTGGTGGGACCTAACTATTTCTGACTTTGGCAGGAAATGTTCTTGGCAGATTGCGCCAGTCATTCATAAATGTCAGTTACAATCACATGCAAATCTTAAGTGTCTGGTAGGTTGCTTTCCAGGTAATATGTTGGTACAACAAATTAAGGCTGTTCTTGTGGTTGGTTATGAAAGATAAGTGGCTGTTAGGGAAGGCTTATTTCCCATATAGGTGAGGACATTTTGAAAATCTTGCTTTAAACTGCTCTTTATTTTATATAGATATAAAGGCAATTTGGAAACAAAGTGAGAATGGCATAATTTGTTTAGTCAAACAGAGAAGCCATTAATTTGTTTTAGGTTTTTGGTTTTTTTTGGGTAGATCAGAGCTTATCTCCTTGATGGAGAGCTGTACTTCTTTAACAGTGTAATGGAGATTATTAAATCAAGAGATAAATCAGTACACACTGAAATGTTTGATTTATTATATTGATTAGTCAAACAACCATATCAAATCATATCACAGTATCAACATAATAAAATATAATAAAATAAACTGAAATGACATGAACTAAACAGCAATAAAGAACATCCCCATCAAGCTACTAAACTTAGTAAAACGATTGTAAGTAACTGGAAATCAAACCATAAGTGTATTGATGGGCAACTAAATATTGCACTGAAAAATCATTTATAGCCAGCCTGTAGTAACATCCACTTTTCAAGTGTATTTCGGTTATTTGTGAAATGAAAGGCAGGAATTGCTGTGGGTTGAATAATTGTTTGCTTGCTGCACCAAAGTAAGCCCACTTAATTACAAATATAACAGCATCATAAAGGGAGATTCTTTTCTTGGCATTTCTTGTTTCTTTCAAACCTGGCTATTCTTTTTAACTGATTAAAATGTTCTTCAAGAATGGCATGGAGAAGGGCCTGAGTGAATGATTGCTTTGTTGCTCTTTGGAGCTTCTTACACTACTTCTGGGATTTTCATTACCCAGCTCTCTTGAGCAAAACTCTTATTCTTAAATATGCACAAAAATTATTTGGGAGAGTATTATGGGACAGTACTTTCATGCTATGACACGTGTATTGCTGTCATAACAAGAACTACGTACGTAATCATGTCAGCAGAGGTCTGCTGTAGCTATTGAATACATATTTGCCTATATGAGGCCATAACTGTTCGGGGAAATCTAGTGTAATTTTTCCAAACCACTTTGTGAAAGAGTAAATCATAGCTGTAAATATTTTGAACCAGTGTCTTCAGCAAACACTCCTTAATAATCTTTTTAAAACTGTCTTGGCAGAAATGATAAGACATCCTGTATTAGTGCAGTGGGGCTAAGATACATGGCAATGGGGCCTAGTGCATTGTGTTCACCATTTTTGAATGACAGCCTTTTCACACTGCATCTTGTCTTTCAGAAAACCACACTTGATCAAAACCAAAGAGTTGTTCAGAAATATACAGTATATAAAGTGTCCTGCTTTTAAAAAAAAGAAATGTATTGCATACTGTTGTGAAATTCTTTTTAATACCTCTCTTAATTATATTTTTCATTAATCTAGAAATATGCTTATTTGAAAAATAGAATTGAAAAATTACCTAAGCAGTATGCGGACCAGATTTGTTGTTTTCTTGTTTAAGTGCCCTTATTAGAGTACTGATATTGATGATTTGTTAACTCTTGGGAGATGACTTGAGCTTGGATAAGCTTCCTTTTAACATGTACCTAAACATGGTTAGATTGTAATTATTGTGTGCTTCATCTGTTCCTTGGTGAAAGAGATGATACTTTGAAGTCTGTTCATAATAAATGAGTTTTGTAATGCAGTTGGTTATTCCTCTTGTAACTTGTTGGATAATTCACTATTTTATTAACATTACTTCTGGTGGAACTGAATACAGTGGAACCTCGGTTTACGAACTTAATTCGTTCTGTGACTCTGGCCGCAACCCGAATTGGT